TATCATCACTTCTTGTGTCCATGTATTCGGATTTGCTGCGTTTTTAAATCATATTTGCATAAATTATAAAATCAAATCTTTTTAATTGCTTTTAAGGGAGAAAATGATACTTTGTCTTTTCGGACGATTGTACACGAAAACTTATAGCAAATAGGGGAAAGTTGCCGAATGCCACTTAAGATATTTTTGGTTATATTTCACATTTGGTACTATTTAGAATGCAAACGAACGTTGGAAATTGTAGTATGATGTTCAAGACATCTAATATTATATGTTAAATTTTCCACTAATAGCAAATTATTTTGTTCTAAGCTTTTTTTTTTTGTAACATGCTGTCAAAAGCACGATTCAGCAAATTGGTCGCCTAAATCGTACCAATGAGTTTTATTAATAGTACCTCCTTCTAAAACTATTGAATTTATTAATAAAAATAATTAAAAACACAAGATTGATAAAAGAATTATGAATTAATACCTACTTTAATTGTAATTTATCAAACAATAATTGTTTTGCTTACGTAACTCGATGACAGTTTTTTCCTCTACAGACTTGCTACAGAACAACTTTGATCGTGTGAAAATAAATAATGTTGATTTTGTCATGTGATCGAAAGATAAAAATACATTAGTATTCCTAAATTGTACCGATATAATACAAAAACTCTTATGCTGGTTAGGTACGTTTTAGAAAACTTGACAAGGATGATAAAAATATTGTTATAATTTTCATAATAATTGTATATATGTATATACGATGAATATAAAATATGCTATCATAAACTTTCTTTTAAGAAAAAATAACGATTCAATTAAAAATTGCATCATGGTTACATTATAGCTATATATAAGTTGATCAAAAATGTACATCAATTGTATCTGATTTTTTAAAATGTTGATAACATGCACAGAACAAGATGTACTCTGTTCATTTTTTGTCTATCTTACACATTTCTTATTTACTTCATAATTTTGTTACTAAATGTTGCTATTAAGTGGAACTATAAAATATTGAAGAGGTGCGCATTATGAGACCGGTACGCATTTGGCAACTCTCTCCTAACTTATAAAGTTAAAATTAACATTAACATTAATAGTTAAAGATAGTCTGGATATAATTAGTATATTATTATTATATTTTGTGTTAAAATAAAATCTCTCTAAATTAATATTTAACGCCCGAGTTTTTAATCAAATGCATATTGATTTCATTGCCATTTAAAAACAAAAATTTTTTTTAATGTATTGAATAATGATTAAAAGATATAATAGATATGTATGTAAAACTTACCTCATTTCTGGCAAATATGCCATTACATTTTTATGAGACAGCGTCACTCCTTTCGGTAACCCCGTGGTGCCACTCGAACCGAGAATAACCAATGGATGCCGACTGGGATCATCGATATCTGTAGCCTTGTATCTCATGTAGTCTACATCCGGTTTATTATTCAAGATATTTGTTAACGTATGGACATTTGTTGTGAGTGGTTGATCGTCCAACTGTATTAATTCCATTTTCCAGGATAATTTCGGTAGGATCTTAGCGAAGAGATTTTCGGTGCGTTGAGATACGAAAACAATATGCGGCTTTGCGATGTTTAATACGTGCTCTAATTCATCTAAATGATAAACATTTGAAATCAATTAAACTC